CGTGCGGGCCCAACGGAGAGGGGTTGTTGGGGCCCACAGGAGGCTCCCTGAGGCGGGGTGTGTGTGGGGGTGTGTGTGTGTGCAGGGGGGCTTCCTTAGCGAGGGAGCCAAGGCCGTGTGTGTGTCCCTTGAGGGTGGCTGTGTTGGGCCCGGGGCAGGTAGGGGCTTCTTGAGGGGGCAGGAGCTGTGAGGCACCTCCTCCGGGTGTGTGTTGGTGTGTGGGGGTTGCTGCCCCGCTCCTCAGCAGCCTCCTCAGTGTGTGTGTGTGTTTGTTTGTGTGTGTGTGTGTATGGGAGTCGCGGCCCCGCCTCTGGGTCAGCCTCTGCCTTCTTAGGGAAGGCTGAGAGCCATGGGTGCACTGCTGTATAAAAGAAAGGGCTGAGGGGGTGAGCTTTGTGCTGGTTGGAGCAAGGAGTCCTGGAAATGACCACATCTGGCAGTTAGACCTTAAAACCGTGCTTGGCTAAAAGGTGTGCCAATATAAGATGTTATCTGGAGCCCCTTGCTCTCTTCCACTGTCCTGAGCCAGGGCTCTACCTTGTTTCTGCTTTATGCTGGGTCCAGGTCTGCTGTCCGTATCCTCTCTGGCATCCCAAAGGTTTTGGTGGATTTCTGTGCGCTGGAGGTATGGTAACTGCAGTCTAAACAAATCTTGAGGAGCATATAATATCCTGGGGCATCTGGGAGACTCAAGAAACTTTCCCTTGTTGGAAATGCAGGAGCTGCGCATTTGCATCTTTTTGGGAGAAGGAAATTGGTAGCTTTCCCAGCTTATACAAGGGGTGTGCTTTATTTTCTTACAGCTCTGAGGGCGAATGATGGTTGGCATAGCCATTTGTGCTTGTGGTTTCTTTCTGTGTGAGCACTTGGTGTTTATTCTCTTCCTGCAGGTAACTAGCCAAGAGTGTGTGGTGGCTTCAGTATAAAGCAGTTCTTGAGTCTGTGCTGGGATTTGTGGAGGTTGTTCCTTTGCCATAAGAAAGGTGAGTAGGATTATTTCCATGTGTTACTCTAAGGCTTTCTAACTTAAAGACTTCCGTAAGTGGACTGATATTTAAACAACCCTGTGACTGCCAGTTCTTTCTAAATCTGTTTGAGAGTAGTGATTCTGTCTAACCTTTTATATAACTGAGCTGGAGTTTGTGGTCCCCAGATGATTTTTACATCTTTGTATGAGTCTTTTTTATTTTTATATTCATTGAGTTTTTTTATTGGTTTTTACCAAAAGTACTCAAGTAAGAACATGTGTGAACAGGTGCATCTCCTCTATTGTTTGGTCTTGTGGGGTTTTTTTGTTTGTTTTGGGTCTTACTTTGTAAGCTTTTGTAAACTGTATTATCCACAGGATCAGATTGTAGATACTTAATTGTTCAGTTTAATTATGAAGAGATGGAGCTTTTAAAGGGGCTTTTTTTGTGTGTAGTAGTTCATGCTGTGAACACACTGCAATTTTTAATCATATCTGTGGGATGTTGGAGAAGGCATTTCCATCTAAAGCCAAAGTGATCTATCTGATACCAGGTTTACAACAAAAAGGAGTATCTTATAGTGTTATATGTGATGTGACATGACATCTGAATCCTAATGATAGTTGATTTCTTTGGTTAATGTGCAACTGATTATTGTGAGTGGAAAAAGTGGAACATCAAAGAGATTTTGAGTTACTCCTTGTCATACACAAAATTCAGGTCTCTGTTGTGGGAAATCATAGAAGACTTTCCCTTGTGTTTACCGACTGTCTACTGTGTATCAGACCATACACACTGATGCTCTGTAGAAATCTGTCAGTCCTCAAAGGATTTTGAATCCTGAGCTGTACCAGGAGTCAGAAGTTAAAGCTGGGGAGGTATTTTGTAGTGTCCTGGTGTGTTGTAAGACTCTGTCTTCTGTGGAGTAAAGGAGAACTAAGCTGCTGCTGTAATCAAGATCAAATTACTGAGGCTGTTAATGAGTTCACCTTTTCTATATACTTTCTGAAAGTCTGCTAAAAGTGAATGTTGACAGCGTGCTGGGTGCTTCACAAAACCCTGTCCTACTGACCTAATTCAGAGTCACCTGAATTTAAGACACTTAAAGTGTGATTGGAGCAGCTCCAACTGATTTGAGGTGATGGGAGCTCCTATAAGGGTGTCTTACATGGAAGTCTAGTCCAAAGTTGGGTGTGCTGAAGTCAGGGCTCAGTCTCCCACTGCCTGTGGTTTTGGGAGCACTTAATGTTCATTAAAGTATACAGCAGTCCTCCCAGTGCAGAGAATTGTGTCTTTATGTTTTTTCCCCTGCTTTGTCTGTTGCTATCTAGTTTCTAGTGACATCCCAGGTCAGAGTGATCAGGTGGGGCTTTCAGAGTTGCAGTGCTGTGTTAGATGGACTTTTCAGGCACCACATAATCTGCTAGAAGATCCTTGGCCACATTGCAAAAGCTTGGGTGAATGGTCAAAATCCATTTAGCATTGAAGACAATCCAGAGGTGGTTTTGCTTAGTCAACAGGAGCAGAGAAAGGTGCTGCTTCATGTTATGACTCGATGATCCCAAGGGTCTCTTCCAACCTGAATGATTCTATGATTCTATGAATGTGTAGCTGTCTGTTATTTAATGAAGGCAGAAAATATGCCATCTGTGCCTGCTGCAAAAGTGAAAACATTAATCTCAATGACTGAGACCCTGGCATTGTAACTCGTAGGCACCACAAGAGGGGAAAAATATACTTGAAGGTCAGGAAGAGGGTGGAATGATCTGTGAGATCACTTCTGGATTCAGTGAAATGGGGACTCACTATTTGTGCGTTGCATCGTAGAGTAGGTGTGTTGTGGCACTTGAGTGTGGAGGAGGTGGCCTGGGGAAAAAAAATCAAGCAGAGACAGGCATAATTAGCAGGACAGGACGGGGATGTGAGGAAACATGTTATGCAAAGCGTGATTATGGTGACATCTCTTTTCAGGAAAGCTAATAAGGTTCTGTGTATTGCCAGTTGCAATTCTGTGGTCCTTCTCTCCAGTTGCTCTGGCTGAGGGTCACAGTTGCTACCTGTGCCTGCGTTCCCTCAGAGCCAGTGTGTGTCTGGGCAGCTCTTATGGTCTTGGGCTCCATGTCTGTCTTCTATGCTCACCAGTGAGAGTAAGATCTATTTTTCTGGTTGGGAGCCTCTAATGTTGAGTGAGGCTCTGTGTAAGCACTGGAGGGAACTGTAGGCAGGGACAGCTTGTATAAATCTGGTACTAATCAGTTGGTTAAGTGGGCTAATTGCAGCAAGCTGGGTGAAGGATGGTGCTTTTCCTCCCATGTGGGGGTGGGAAGGAAGTCAAAGGCAGGGGGCCTCAAAGGTAAAAACATACTTGGCAGACACTGGTTTCTTTGGTTGCTTTGATTCTGGTAGTTGTCTACTCTTTGCTCTACATCTCCCTGAAAGGAGGGTGTAGAGAGGTGGGGGTCGGTCTCTTTTCTCAAGTCACAGGCGACAGGACAAGAGGAAATGGCCTCACGTTGCACCAGGGGAGGTTCAGGCTGGATATTAGGAAAACTTTTTTCACTGAAAGGGTTATCAAGCATTGGAATGGGCTGCCCAGGGAGGTGGTTGAGGCCCCATCCCTGGAGGTGTTCAAAAGACGGGTTGATGTAGTGCTGGGAGGTATGGTTTAGTGATGATGCTTGTTTGGTGTGTGGGTGTCTATTTTTGTCAGTTAGGTTGACGGTTGGACAAGATGACCTTTAAGGTCCCTTCCAACCTAGAAGATTCTGTGATATTACTACTTGTAATGCATTATCTATGGGATGTTTGATGTATCTGTCTCATGTCTCTGTCCAGATGCATCATTATTAGATGCCAGACCAGCTGTCATCTGTGCTACGCTGCAACCAAAATGGCTAAGTACAGGCTTGTTCTCTTAAGACATGGGGAAGGAGCCTGGAACAAGGAGAATCGCTTCTGCAGCTGGGTGGACCAGAAGCTGAGCAGTGATGGGATAAAGGAAGCTCAGAACTGTGGCAAACACCTTAAAGCTCTGGGCTTTGAGTTTGACCTGGTCTTCACCTCCGTACTCAGCCGCTCCATCCAGACTGCGTGGCTTATCCTGGAAGAGATGGGCCAAGAGTGGGTCCCCATTCAGAGCTCCTGGCGACTGAATGAACGTCACTATGGGGCGCTGATTGGTCTCAACAGAGCAGAAATGGCTCTGAATCATGGGGAGGAGCAAGTGAAAATATGGAGGAGAAGCTACGACGTTACCCCACCTCCCATAACTGAATCTCATCCTTACTATGAAGAGATATACAACGATCGCCGGTATAAATGCAGTGACGTCTCTCAGGATAATCTCCCAAAAGCTGAAAGTCTAAAAGATGTGCTTGATAGACTTCTTCCCTATTGGAATGAAAAGATAGTGCCAGAACTGAAAAGTGGCAAAATGATCCTTATCTCTGCTCACGGGAACAGCAGCAGGGCGTTGCTGAAGCACGTGGAAGGTAAGGGTCTTCCTTAGAGACTTCCCCTCATCTCCTTACTCAACTGCTTAAAGCTTTACATCTTCTTCTGTAGGGTATATTACTTATCTGAGAAATGTAACACTTGATGTCTGTGGTCTACAGGGAGAAAGTAAAAAGGTGGCCTTTTGGAACAGGAGTAAAATTGGGGGATAATTAGTTAGGTTAATGTAGTTAAGAGTTAGATGCTTTCCCCTTGTTTTTTACTGCTCACTTTAAACTACTGTATTCAAACGAATTTTGTGGCTGGTCTAGATAGAGCCTGAAGAGTTTGTGTCTAACTATTTTTGGATTTAATCAGCTGCTTTGTCAGAAGGGTTGAAGTCACAATCTGTTCAATAAACAAGCATTACTATAACACAGCAGAATAAAGTGCTTGCCTTGGGTTGCGGAAGATGTTCTTGACTGTTTCTGTGGTGGGTCACTTTTGAGGCTTCGTTCTTGATAATTTTTACTCCAAAAAGCTGCTGTGACAAGGAGTTCTGCAGAGAGTAGCTGCAGAAGTCAACTTTAGCAAGTTGACTTGCTAAAGCTTATGCAAATATTGTATTTCCCAATATAGCAAATGCCTACCAATGAACAGCAAAGCTGGCAACTTAGGTTGCTTATTTATTTGTGACCTGAAAAGGATGTGATTCATTGTTAGATTCTTCCTCCTGCCTCTTCTTCAATGATACGGTTTCTAGTTTAGATCATCCTAAACTGGAAGATGTATTAATTTCTTTGTGGGTAGAGTAGAATTTAGTGATTATGTGTATGAATGCAGCCTACTAGAGGTGTAGTTGCAATTATGTGCAGTCTGGATTGTGTCAACTCATTTTTTTTTAGTTATAAAACCCTCTGCTGTGTGCCTCTACAGCTCTGACCCTGCTGAGCACTTTTGGCATTCAGGCATGCTGGAACAGTCAGGACAGTTGATGCTTTAGCAGGAGTCAGAAGGCCAGGGAATAAGCTGTACAAGTGACTCCTGGGACTATAGAGGCTGTGAATTCTGGGGTACAGATCACTGCTGGGGTGAAGGAGGAAAGCTGGTTCAGCTGGTTCCTCTGATGTGGTCTGGGTGGTGGTCCACACCGTGTGAAGTGATAAAGAATTACAAAGGAAAAAGGGACAATGATCTGCAACCACGGTGTCTTCTCTGTCCCCTCCCTGGCTTGTCCCCAAAAACTGAATGAGTTTGATGAAAATGTGCTGGCCAAGGCCTTAGGGGATGAAATGCTGTGAGCTGACCACAGCTTCAGCAGAAACCTTGGGCCATTTTCAGAGCAGGCACACACCAAGGCTGGAGCAGACAGCATTGCTGGCTGGTAAAGGTTACTTTAAAGTTGTTATGGCTGGATTCCTTGCTGCATTGAGATCAGAGAGAATGCTTCAAGTTAGGGCAGCTGTGAAGCTTTCCTTTGGGACAATCTGTTAGGTCTAATTCTTCCAGGGCTGCCCCACTGAACCAAAGTAGAATAGAACTTTCTCTCTTGTCTGTCCTACACTGTATCTTGTCCCTCCCAGCATGTGCTTACGTAGGGAAATGTGAGGAATCCTTGGCAGAGGATTTAGTTTGCTTGTCTGAGGACTGTCCATCAGCTACCCCTGCTCCCATACAGGAGCAGTTGCCAGATACGTGCTGGCCCTTCTGCCCTTTACACAGTGGAGATTTGGATTGCTGTGGAGCTGGCCTGAAGGGTGGCATGAGCAGAGTTTTAAGACCTCAGTTATTGCTACCTTATTTGCTGTTGGCACAAAGCTAGGAGGGGTGGCTGGCACCCCAGAAGGCTGTGTGGCCATACAGAGAGATCTGGACAGGCTGGAGATTTGGGCCAAGAGAAATCTAATGAAATTTAACAAGGGCAAGTGTAGGGTGCTGCACCTAGGGAGAAATAACCCCCTGCACCAGGACAGGTTGGGGGCTGGCCTGCTGGAGAGCAGCTCTGAGGAGAAAGACCTGGGAGTTCTTGTAGACAGCAGGATAACCATGAGCCAGCAAAGTGTCCTTGTGGCCAAGAAGGCCAGTGGCATCCTGGGGTGCATCAAGAAGAGCGTGGCCAGCAGGTCAAGGGAGGTCATCCTGCCCCTCTGCTCTGCCCTGGGGAGGCCCCATCTGGAGCACTGTGGCAAGTTCTGGGCTCTCCCGTTCAAGAAGGACAGGGAACTGCTGGAGAGGGTACAGCAAAGGGCCACAAAGATGATTAAGGGCCTGAGGCATCTCCCTATGAGGAGAGGCTGAGGGCCTTGGTCTTTTTAGTCTTGAGAAGAGAAGGCCTGATCCTAAAATTTCCTCTCCTTTGAGAGATTGCCGTCTCTTGGGTGTGGTGTGGTGGTCATGGAGCATTGTCATGCGTAGGGTAAAAAATGAAGGGGAAGCATTACCTGATGTGTTGAAGAAAGATGCAGATGTTGCACCCATTGTACTTCTCTGGTTGTGGTCACAGAGCTGGGACAGAGCTCTGGAACTGGGCTCACAAGCAGAACATGATGACTGGGAAGGCCTGATGCTGGTCTCACTGGTTGGTGAGCAGGGAGGGCAGTGCCCTCAGGGCTTTACTTTTTTCCATTACTGTGTGATACTTGTGCAGTTACAGTATTGCAGTAGTTTACATGCTGGAGCTACACATTGTGAGTCCTGGTGTGGATTCTGTGTTGAGGACTACCTAATAAGATTATTTTGCTGATTTTGCCACTCAACCTTCTTAAGGAGATACTACTTATGTGACTGGTGTCTGAGGGCAGTTACAGAAACCAGCTTGAGATCTAAGAACTCGCTGCTGTTGAAATGAGATGGCCTTGCACTCCCCATCATTCATCCCAGCCTTTGCTCTGTACTTCTGCTTATTTCTTATGAGCTTCTGGGGGCTTTTTGCAAGTTAACTTGGTCTGTAAACTGGCAGGAAACAGCCAGGAGTGGGTAGTCTTCTGTCATGGTGGTGGCTTGAATCAGCCTGGGGAAGGTGGTGGCAAGTGCCTGATGAGCATGCTTTGGGGCTGGAACAGCCTGACCAGGACCTCCAGCTCAGACAGGTTTCATCCATGAGTTGTTAGTGACTAGTTTTGCCAAACTTGAGTTTGAGGGACCCTCAATTGTGCTTCAGCCAGAGATGGAAAGTTTTTTGCCAGGGCTTTGTCCAGAGGGCAGTTGTGTGCTGGTAGGCTCCAGAGTTGGGTGCTCTGAGAGCTCCCATTTGTCACAGCGTTGCCCTGAGTTCCTGGTGGTGCCAGGTGGTTCCTGGTGCCCAGTAGGCTTGGCATGGGACACAGCCAGGACAGCTGACCCAAACTGACCAAAGGGATATTCCATTACCATGTGATGTCTGTTCAGCAATAAAACCTAAGAGAAAGGAGGAGGAGGGGCATTTGTTATGATGATGATTCTCTTCTGGAGCAGCTGCTATGCATACTGAAGCTCTCCTTCCCTGGAAGAGGCTGGACATTGCCTGCTGATGGGAAGTAGAGAATAAATCTTTTGTTTTCTTCTGCTTGTACTTTATTAAGCTGTGTTTATCTTCAACCACAAGTTTCTTCTGTCTTATTTTTGTCCCATCTCCTCCTTTCCCTCATCCTGCTGAAGAGGGGAGTGATGGAGTGACTCAGTGGGCACCTGGTGTCCAGCTGGATTCAACCCACCACAATCCTTTTTGGTGGGTTGACCCTGTCTACGGGATGAGGAATGGAGGTTTTGCCCAGTTCATCATGCAGTCTCTACTGCTCCTTCCTCCTTGCCCTCTTCTCCAGCATGGGGTCCCTCTCGTGGGAGACAGTCCTTCATGAACTTCTCCAGTGTGAGCCCTTCCCATGGGCTGCAGTTCTTCACAAACTGCTCCAGCATGGTTTCCCTTACAGGCTCACAAGTCCTGCCAGCAAACCTGCTCCAGCATGGGCTTCTCCCTTCATGGTTTCCTGGGTCCTACTAGGAGCCTTCTCCAGCATGGTTCTCCATGGTCACAACCTCCTTTGGGTGTATCCACCTGCGTGGAGTTCTCTGGGCTACATGTGCGTATCTGCTCCACTGTGGACCTCTGTGGGCTGCAGGGGGACAGCCTGCCTTACCATGGTCTACACTGTGGGCTGTAGGTGAAATCTGCTCTGGCACCTGGAGCTCCTCCTCCCCTTCCTTTGGTGACCTTGGTGTCTGTGGAGTTGTTTCTGTCATGTATTCTCCTTCCTGGCCACAGTTACACAGCAGTGTTTGGGGTTTTTTCCCCACTTAAATATGTCCTAACAGAGATGCTACCACTGTTGGTCTTGTCCTTGGCCAGCGGTGGGTCCATCTTGGAGCCAGCTGGCATTGGCTGTGTTGGACACGGGAAGTTTCTAGCAGTCACAGAAGCCACCACTGTAGTCCCTCCCACTACCAAGACCTTGCTGTGCAAACCCAATACAGACATAAAGTCTTGGCAGAGGGAAGGATGAAACAAGTGTAGATAATATTCCGCAACTGTGGTTGTAGTCCACCCATCTTCTTCCTTTCTGTAAGATCTGCTCAGTGAGCTAACATTCTGTGAAGGTTAATAGTTGGGTTCAAAGGCTGTGCCCACCGCCCTCCTCGACCCTACTGAAGCCAGGGCCTCTGCCAGCCTGGCCCTGAATATTTAACTCCCTAGTGTTTTCATTAAGCTTGTGAGAAGGATGCTATGACCTGATTTTTTGGATCTCAGGAAGCACCAGCTCTAGAACAAGCTCATGGTGGCTGAATTTATGCTTATGATCTTGTGTGTTTTGGTGGATGAATCATCTGGCTTCAAGTGTAGTTGACGTGCAAGGGAGGAGGGATGGGGCTATTCTCCACAGTTGTGGGGTTTTTTGTGGTGCTCTGACCATAAGAATAGAAGGAAGGAACTTGGTAAGAACAGGTGAGGGGGAGGGAGAAGCTGAGCCAGCCCTTGCAGAAGTTGGCTGTAGGTGTTTGAAATCAAGCCCGATGAGTTTTGCCTCTGTAGGACTTCCCAGGGTGCAAGTATTTCAAAGCTACCAGGTGAAGGTGAGTTCTTAAGCTTGTACAGAGATTACTGGTGTCTGTGTGTTCAATCACCCGGTTGAATTAAATGGAGTGTGAGCTGAGGCAGAAATCTGAATGTGACTTGGAAAGGTCTTTTTCATAATAAATGCTTTACCAAATTGTTACGATGTTCACGTAGCTAATGGCTAATATTATTACAGCTAATATTCAGGAACGATGTTTAACGGGGGGGTTTTGAGAGAGAACATGGGAGAAGTCCACTTGAGGAACGTAGTTGCCCAGTCAGCATTTTATCTGGGGTCCTGAGGAAGACATCCTGAATACTTCAGTAAAGTCTGTGGATTCTCATGGCTGTAAGGAGGTAGGACCTTAGTTTTAAACCCCTGCAGGGAAAGAGAACACGGGGAAAGCAACACGGTAGCCTTCAGCAGGGCTGAGACCCAGGTGCTAGCATTTTCCTGGAGGGAAGAGCGTTGCTTCTTCAATGGTCTTATTTCCCACTGCACCTTGTAGTCAGCAGTGGAGTCCTTGCCCTGATTTCACCCATCTTCCCTGGGAGATAAGGTGGGGTTGTGACACAGGCCAGCTCAGATGAAGTGCAAGAAAAGGTCACTTGGCTATAGTTAGAGCACATGAAGTAACTGGATAGCAGTTAGCTCAGGCTTGGAGTGGCCGGAGTGGAAGTTGTGATCTCTCTACTGTCCTCCTGTGTACGTTTTGCCTGCAACTGAAGAGCTTGACCAAGCTTCTTCCTTCCTGAAGATCAGAAATGCCATACAAATACAGAAACAGCACTGAAATAAAGCAGCAGGACACTATGGTTTCTTTAGGATTTTCACCTGACTTCAACTTGCATTTCCAGCCTTCTGGCTGTGAGGCAACACTTCTGTATGAGGAAAAATCCCAAGGAAAAAGCCCACATGCTGGCTGGAACTTGTTTATCCCAGACTGGGCTATTTTGCTTTGTAAATCAGTACTAGTTGACATTGCTGTGGTCACTGTGCTGTGTAAAAACAGTGAAGTGCATTTCTGAATCCCATGTAGCTACAGCTAGTTTTGTTTAATCCATCTTCAGAGGAAACCTTTAAATATCTTGGCTCCTGACCGCATTATGTGGTTTGCCTAAGTTCTCCTGCATGACTTCATCTGTTTTGTGTGTATCCGAATGGTTTAGTCTGGGAGACTGAATTTGAGAAGTGGGCAGAACACTTCCTAGGGCTGGGTTCTCTGTGGATACCTGGTGACATATTTATGTTCTTTAATACATTTAAGAATCTTTGAAATAAGAGCTCGGGCAGCTTGGCTGCTTGTTTTGCGAACCAAAGTCCTTGAGGATAGTGCTTGTGCTTGGTAAATGGGCTCAGTATTTTTCCTCTTGATTTCTGTGGGGTTTTAAAATTTTAGGTGTTCCGTGAGTGCTTTTCTGTAGGTCTGTGATTCTTCTGCCTACAACAGGTGAATTATTTATCCCTTGTATGCCAGGATTGCTTAAACTGGCAGAATAGAACTTTTTAATTAACTGATGTAATGATGTGTAAGCTTCTTGAGAGGGTTTGTCTGTTTCTCTTGCTCCATGTCCTTCTGAAATTCTGATCCACAGCAGAACGAGGTGCTTAGCCCAATCAAAGCAAGAATAGATCACTACAAAATTTGCATGCTTGTAGTCTCTGGGCAAGGGCATTAAATGGTTCTCACTTCATTGTTAGTTCTGTTTTTCCTGACCTGTTGTCATCCCGCTGTTGCTAAGTGTGGGTTTTCCTGTTAGTATGTTGGCTCTGCTTTTCTACTTAATGTGAAAATCACTGGTAAATTTGCACCCTTATGTTCTGAGAAGCATCTGTTTTGTCAGCTGCTCAAGAGGGTGTTTTCTTCACGCACCTTTGTCTAGTTTATACAGTGTCATCGTTTTAGAAGCTTGATGGTGTGCATTTCTTAAGCATGAGTTACTTGAAGCTGTCCTGCTTTACAGCAACAGGCTGCTGTTGTGACCTCAGTGCTGCTTAAAAGGGGTGAAAAAAAGAAATAATTGATATTCCCCATGACATTAGCTTTCTTTTGCCTGAAAGTTTTGAGGAATAATGACTTCGCCGTCACTGCTGCTTCATACAACTATTTAGACCTTGTGTGGAGACTTGGAGGTTTGGTTGCAAAATTCACTTAGATGTTTTGGAGTCTAGTGTGTTTGATGTAAAAATAAGCAACAATTTAATTGAGATTAGAGCCCCAGAATATTTTAATTAAGCACAGCTGGGTAAAATAAATTCTCTCCCCAGGTACACATTATTTTAGTGAAGTGGAAAATAGAGGAAAATGCTCCAAGTTGTATAACTTGACATTTTCCCTTTTTTTTTTTCCTATCTCCCTCATTTGAAAATGGCAATGAATATCCTGTATCTAGTAATTCTGAGTAGAGTACTGTAGGTGAGATGCTGTAAACTTGCTTCGGAGAAATCAGATGCGGGCAAACAGTGGTCCTTACACTAGAAGGATTTTTAAGACAGCTTGTGTGAGCAGCTTTGCACAGAAAATTTTAAGAGAAAAATCAGCCTTGGTACCCTGCCTTTTTAAAGAGACTCTATTTGTTGCTTAGTGGAGGCTGTTTCATGTTGGAGCAGCACATGTGCTCCTCCTGTACTAAAGGAAAGGTATAGACTCCAGGGCAATTTCTTCCTGTTTATTTCATGTGCGTAGACTGAAAAATAAAGAAACTGTCTTCACCTTGATGGGAACTCCCTCCTTTAGCTGTGTCACTAAGCAGTAGCCAAGCTGTGGTCTAACTGGTAATTGACCTTTGAGTAGCTGGTGATATTGATGAAGGCTGGAACATGTCCTTGATTCTTGTAAGACTAGATAATCCAAGAAATAAGGATGAGCTAGCTAGAAAATTAGCTTGATAGACAATTAAGCTGTTCAGTAGATGTAACTGTTTGTTTTTTCTTTGGCAGGCATCTCTGATGAGGACATCATCAATGTTACTCTCCCCACTGGTGTGCCCATACTTCTTGAACTTGATGAGAACCTGCACCCTCTGGGCCCACACCAGTTTCTGGGTGATCAAGAAGCTATCCAAGCTGCCATTAAAAAAGTGGAAGATCAAGGGAAAGTCAAATCTGCTGAGAAGTAAAATCCCACTGACACAGCTGTTTTCAAAGTGTGGCAATAAGTGATGATTTATGTATGACTGCTAGGTTGCACTGTGTGAAAGTCTCAATTTCAAGCACCAAATGATTGGAAGGGACAGTTATTGAGTCTCAAGTTGGTAGATTTACCCTCTGCCTTTCAAAAACTGGAATTTAGATTTCAGCATGAGGTTATGGATATGGATGAAAAACGAAATCAAGAGATCATTCAGGTAATGGAAACTTGCAGGGCAGTCTGCCCCAGATCTAGCATTGAGAGTGGCCCAGTACAGAAATCAAGGGATATGTTGTTGCTATCTACCAATAATCAGTCCTAATCTGTTAAGGGGAAAAGCACCAGCTTACTGGACTAATTAAGTCCAGGTTGTTATAGGCACTAAAACTTTCTCATTGATAAAATGGCACCAGGTAACAGAGTTATCCAGTATGACTCCTCTGTGTCAATGGCTGTGACAGTTTGTTCTGGATGGAGTTCCTTTTGTTTTTTCAGAACACTGTCAGCTGTACAGCTCTGTCATTTTGAGTCTTCCAAGGCCAGTTCATGGTCTGGAGTAAAACTTAGTAGAGATGTTCAGACTGTTACCGTAGTTGTCTTTTTATTACACAATATTCCATTTTTTAAGTAACCTAGAAGGAATCCCTTTTCCTCCACCATCTTTGCAAAGCCTAGCATGACCACATTTTGCTGGCTTGCAGTAGTAGGACTTAGTTCGTGGACTAAATTCTGAGTTAAGCACAAAGTTTTCCTGCTCAGTGTTTTAATTATCACTTAGCTCTTAGTGAGTGATCTGAATAGCTTTCAAACACTTAAGTAACATGTACATGAGGTTTGATCATCTTGTAGTTGAGTTATTAGAATAATTCCTGTTTACCTCAGTAAAATTGGATATAGGAAAATTTCCCCTCTGAGTTGCAAAGATCTCTTGATAAATATTTCCAAATAAATATTACTGTGGTTTTCTCTGGGGGGCTGGGAGAGATGCGTAAGGCACGTAGTAAGTGTACTGGGTGCAACTCATTCAGCCATCCTGCTGGTAGGGAAGGATGTCCTGCCATGCCTAAAAGTGTTTTCCTATAAAACTCTCCTCACAATCATAGCCTGATTCCTGCTGAGTGTGGCCTTGCTGTTGTGTTTGGCACTAAATTCAAACAGTTCACACTGTGGTTGTGTGTAGTGTGGCACGTATGGCAACTTGGTGTTCTCTTTATGTACACAAGCATGGAGATAATTCCACTTTTGAAGACTTGCTCTAATCTTACTTGCAAATATGAAATTTTTCCTTAAATTTAGATCTGACCCAGTGTCTTCAACACCTGAACATCTGGATTTTGACCTCTGCTACCAACATGGGTGGCACTTGTGTGTGTACTGTTTGAGCTGAATGCTTTCTCAGCATGGCCCAGCTACAAATTGCAGGAGAAGTTGGTAAGAATTCCCTCAGTATGATGATAGTATAAACTTAAAATCCTAGAGTAGCTGCTGCTTTGCAGTGAGCAGCTCTGTAGCTCATTTCTGAAGTGTGAGAGGATGTTTTTTACCTTTGAGGAGAGCAGTGTGGTGTGCCTTGGACAGTCTCCCTGCTGATAGGGATGTAGACTTTCCAAGATCCAATGCTGGCTCCTGTTAGTGTAGTGTGTACTCCATAAAAGACCTCTTGCTAGGTGGTAGTTTCTCTTGCATGAATGATGCTTGGGCTTCTTTTTGATTTTGTTTTTGTTGCCCTTGCAGTAGGAACAAAGTTCCATGTTTCTCTTTTAAACATAAAGCTGGTAGGTTTCCTCTTGTTTTGTACAAGCAAGGGTATTTGAGTGTTTTTCCCCTGAAACACTATTAGTGGCTTCCCTGCTGCTCTGTTTGACACTGACTTATTCCTTTGTGGGTTTTTAGTTTTCTGTACATAGAGTAACCCTGAATTTTAGTTGATACTTCCCAGGTCAGTGTTCTGGAGTTAAATTGTTGATCAGCAAATGTTCACCTGCCAATGCCCTGAGGAGGGCCACTGGCACTCAAATGATTAGATTCTTCTCCAAACATTCAATAATGTGTGAAGTTCAGTAACAAGAAAAAAAAATTACTCTTGCTTATTAAGAAGTCAAGCAAAGCCACCTGTTGTCAGTGGGGACTTCATGCATCCAGGTGTGTGGGCTTCCAGGCCTTGGCTATCAGTGTCCATGTCCCTTTGACATTGTGGTATTGTAAGGTAGAACTTCTTCAGGACTTGAGATGTAGCTGAAATGTACTTGGAAACTAATCTGGCCGAACTGGGTGATATGCTTTCTCCTCCCCTTTTCTTAGAGAATTTGTGATCTCTTTTTGGGAATGGAGTGGCGAATGGAAGGGCAGATGAGTGAAGATAGAGAGCATCAGTATTTCTTCTTGTGGGTGAATGGCTGAATCTGGCCTTTCAAAGAGTCATGGACAGTAAGAAAAGAGCAGCAGTATGATGTTTTCAGGTGGCACTGTTTCTGCAGTGCTGCTTAAGATGTGAATAGTGACAGGTCCCTGGGAAGTTTGACTTCATTGGCTTTGGTTGTGACTCCAAAGTGATGAGAGGATTTTATGTGAACATCTGGCAGCAATACCACCTTGTGAAAGTGTCAAATGGAACCAACTGGGGATTTCCTTGTGCTTTTTAACATTATTTTAACACCTTGCAATGCTTGCTTCTGAATAGCCTTCTAATTAAATTCCTGATTCATAAAATGTGTATATTAAAGGGAAACCAGCTTCCGTCAACAGTGGCATAAGGATGCCTGATCTTTAGGCATAGCTACATTAGAAGGAAGAAATGAGAAACTTGCTGGTGGCTTTAAAAATCATTGGTTGGAAAACACTTTCACCATGTTTAAGTGTGCCTCAAAGTCCTATAAGATAACCAGTGTTTCTACAGTTGACATTATGGATGTGGTTGATTTGGTTTGGTTTTATGCATTTTTTAACTTGTGGCCCGGTAGCAATAATAATTCTAGAATCTGTTTGAAAACCTTTGTAAATATGGTGGAGCTGGCAGGTTCTTTATAACTCAATAAATTCACCTGAAATAAATTTTAATCTGGCTTCAGTCTGTCTTCCTTTTACTCCCTTCCCCTTTGTCTCCTTTCCAGGGCCAATAGGTAAATAAAACTGTGACCTTCAGGGTCCCAGAACTCGTCAAGCAGTCGTTGATGACATATCATGCAGTCAGTTGGGTAAAAATAGTGTTGGAGCAAACATTGCCTCATGTTTACATGTAAAGAAGTTGGGCTGGAGGGGAATACATACCTGTTTGAAATTATGGAGGCATTTGCACAGGAACAACAAATGGAATGTTTAGTTCCAGAACATCAGAGCTAAACAAATGTTCACTGTTTCTCATGCTTGCTTATTTAAAAAATAAGAATCGTTGCTTTTTGATGGTGTGTTTAAAATTGTAGCTTCTGGAGACGAAGCCAACCCCTTCACTCTCCAAAGTACTCTGGTGCCAAGTGGAGTTGTGACTTGAAATGACAAGTGCAAGGAGCTGCAAGGCTGCTGAGGACCGTTTCTTGTTATTGATCAAGAAAGCTCAGAGCTGTGGTAGGAACAGTCCCTTGTGACTCAAATGGAGACTGCAGAAGGGTTTGGTGAGAAGGAACCCCCATTTGAGAGCTGTGCCAAACAGGTGTTGCTGCCTCTTCCTTGTGTTATGGTGGCTCAAGGTATTGTGGGTGGGTGAATACAAAAGGGAGCTTGGCTTTAGCATCACAGAGAGGGCAGCCTGGCTATGGCAGGGCACTCCTTCCTGCCTTATTAGCTTGTTAATCAGCTCTCAGGCCTTTTTAGGCCTATTTTAGCAGAATTTAGCAGCCATGTTGTGTCCCCACCCTACAGAAAGAAAGGGGAGAGGGGGAAGAGGCTCCCTGTTCTTGCTCTTCACTTATGCTGATGGAGCAGGGGAGGGCAGCAGATACCAGGGTATGGAGATTGCTGTGCTGAGAAGTCAAGCTTGGTGGGATAAAGTGGCTTGAAGATTACTGCTGGTTTTGAAAGGAAGGGGGTATTGACCCACAGCTTGGTCAGAGATGGCAACATAGGGTGCTACAATTACTCTAGTACTATCCAGTGAATCCTCCTTTCCTGGCAGATGGTTGTCAGCCTCTCAGTAACTCCAGCGTACTGCGATTAAGGCTGACCTAGTTCTCCAGTTCCAATCTGTGGCTCTCCAGCTGTTCCAAAACTCTGCTGATTGTGCTTTCCAGGGTCTGTACAGAAGGCAGTGGTACTGGCTGTGCTAGGAGCGAGCAAGCAGGCAGAAAGATCCCTAACTATCCCTAAAATCAAAGCAATTGCTACTGCACAGACTGTGACTACAGATGGACTTGCAGAAATGTAAGTGGGCAACAGGTGGAGACAGTGCATTGTGGTAAGTATGTTCCTGACAACAGGAACAATTTTACACTCCTGTGTGCATATATAGGGATAGCAAGGCATAATCAGCCTCTTGTGAAAAGCAGCATGTTTTATCTCTACCAGCACTGCCCTGTAGCTTAACAAATGGTGTGAAGGTGATTTGGTTCTGGTGTGGAATAAATTGCAATCGTCATCTTGGTCACTTCTACAGACTGGTCATTAGTCCTGTTTTTGTCTTGCATCAGCCACTTCACCAGACTAGACAAATTCAACAGGAGCAAGACTGGCTATTTGCAGACAGATATGTAGTCTGCAAAAAAATAAAAGCAACCTAAAAGCCCACAATTCTGGTCAGTGATAGTATATGAGTAACTATGTCAGGAAAGGCTGTGGGGAAATCAGTGTTGTATGAGAAAAGGAGCTCAGCAATGAGCAGATGGCAAATAAATTTAAAAAGAAATAAAAATTGGAGGGTGTCTTGGGTTTTGAGGATCCGATTTCAGATACTCTTGTACTAATTTTTTGAAAGGACTGTATATTCACCTCCCTCCCCTATCAGAAGTTGTGGAAATTTATAAGCACTTCACGTGCTTTCAAATTGAGCTTTAAGGTAGATGCTCCAGACCCCAGCTTAAAAGTATCTTGAAAAATGTTGACTGATGTGACTTAGCCAAGCAGAGTGAGTTTGGAGGTGAAACAGACAGAAAAAGACCCCAGTAAAGCAAAATCCCAATCTTATACTGTAAGCCCCAATATGACTGCCTTCCCTAACAGTTTAGTGTGAAAAATGCTTGTTAGTGATACAAAGCTCATGAGCTTTTTTTTTTTCACTTGCTGTATGCTTCAACCCTCTAAAGGAATGGGTTTTTTTTAAGTACAAGCACACACATAACTTTCAATTTTATGAAATATTGTGGGAACTGATACTCAATTTTGTGTCAGGCAATAACAAAGTAGAATAAACTTTCACAGGTCTCGTTTTCCCAGATGAAAGCCTTAGGATATCTACTGAAATGAAAAGTACTTTCAATATTGGAAACCTGTGCTTTCTGCTCTGTGCTTTCTCTTCCATGTGGTTGGCTTGAGTGATTTCCTCAGGCAGCAGTTAGGAATACCTTCCATGAAGCTGTAAATCCTTCACGCGAGCTGCCGATAAGAGATTTCTGAGAAGATCTGAGAACTACTATTTCATCACCTTATCTCAGTGTTGGGGATAACTGAGGTACCTACACAGTGATAACATCAAATATTCCTCTCCATTTTAAAACGGCATGCCTTATCTTACTTACAGGTAAATTTTATTTGTTTCTCAGAGTTCCTGCTACATTTCATAATTTTAACTCTCCCCAGTGCCAGGCTGGGCTTGATCTGATCCTAATCACACGCTGGTTTATGTAGCAGATGAGCTACTTTTTAATATTAAATAACATATGTTGGCAATATCAGATGCAGTCAGACACACATGCAAATAATGATTACCAATACGCATTGTTATTTTTATGCACATATAAATGGAAAAGTTGTTGATCTTCTTGGCCTCCTCTTTGGGACCCTCACTGGTTTGTCCCTATATTTCCTGAATTGTGAGGATCTGATGGACACAGGTCTCCAGATGTGACCCAAGAAGCACAGAGTAGAGTGTGGTGATCATCACATCTCTGTCTCTGCTATTAATGCCCCTGTGGATGGAGCCCAGAATCCAAATTGCCTTTGCTGCTGCAGCAGCACGCTGCCAACTCACATTCAGCTTGTTGTCCACCAGGTCTTCTAGGTCCCTTTCAAAGAGGCTGCTCCCTAGCCACACAGATCCTGACCTGCACTGGGTTCTTTGTGTCGTCCCAGGTGCAGGACTTTGCACTTGTCTTTATTAAACTTCATACAGTTCTTGCCACCTCACTCTTCCAGCCTGTCCAGGTCTTTCTGCAAGATGTATCTCTCTTCTGATGTGTCCATCTCACCACCCTGCTTAGTGTCATCAGCAAACTTGGTGAGGGTCTTTTCAGTCACATCATCCAGATCATTTGTGAAGATGTTGAACCAAATGTGAGGCCAAGTGTCAAAGCCTGGGAGACCCTACTTGTGACAGGCTGCCAGTCTGAATAAAAAACATTGTTCATCACTCTCTGAGTGCAGCCTGTGAGCCAGTTTCCTACCCATCTTGTATTTTGTCAGGCTGTCCAGTAGAAGGCTGTGGAAACACTGTTGAATGCTTTGTCCAGGTAAACAACATCCACTGCTCAAGATGTCTGGATTCCAACCTGGTGTTAACAGATATTCCAGAAAGTGCCACTGATTCTTTAAATAGATACATGAAGCTGTTTTGAAATGCCAAAGTCCTATGCCTCAGACATATAACAACAAGAAAAAAAGAGAATAATTATCCTGTAAATCTATTTTAGGTGTATACTCAGTACCTCCTCCTGCTGTTGACTAATTCTAATCTGAAATTGTATTTGCTGGGATTAGGCCTATGACATTCAGATCCTCCCTGTGGTGCAAATCTGCAGGAGGACAAACTGGGTAGCAGTGGAAATTACTGTGTAAGCTCCATCTCAAGTTTAAGTGGACTGTTTTGCTTGTTAGCATGGTAGCAAAAGGTAAGTATCACCACTTCGTGCTTGATAACACGTCTCACTTGCCATATTCAAGACGTCAGCAGCAGAGTGAAGTTGTCAGGGTTTTCCAGATGAGGAGATATTTCCAAAGTACTTTATCTCCTATCTTTCTCTAGTTCCTTATTTAGCTTCTCCGCCCTTCCCTTCTGCCACCCTAGAACTCAAATTCCAGAGGAGCTTGGGTTTTGGTGCGTATTTCTCAGCTTGGAGGGCGTTAATCAGATTTGGTCAGAATCCACCTGAAATACTGACACCTTTGGTCAGAGCAGGACGCAAGTGAAAAAACAAACAGCAGCAAGCACCAAAACCATTTGCATGGAGAGCTGCTGTCTGTGCAATAAAGAAGCAGAAGTGTTGGTGGGCAGCTGGCTGAACACGAGCCAGCAGTGTGCCCAGGTGGCCAAGAAGGCCAACAGCATCCTGGCCTGTATCAGGAACAGCGTGGCCAGCAGGAGCAGGGCAGTGATGGTGCCTCTGGACTGGGCACTGGTGAGGCCTCACCTCGAGGGCTGGGTTCAGTTCTGGGCCCCTCACTACAGGGAGGACATTGAGCTGCTGGAGTGTGTCCAGAGGAGAGCCACCAAGCTGGGGAGGGGTCTGGAGAACAGGTCCTACGAGGAGAGGCTGAGGGAACTGGGCATGTTTAGTTTGGAGAAGAGGAGACTGAAGGGGGACCTCATTGCCCTCTACAACTCCCTGACAGGAGAGTGGAGAGAGGTGGATGATGGCCTCTTCTCCCAAGGGAATAATGACAGGAGCAGAGGAAATGGTCTGAAGTTGGGGCAGGGGAGGTTTAGATTAGATATTAGGAAGAATGACTTTCCTGAGAGGGTGGTCAGGCCCTGGAACAGCCTGCCCAGGGAGGTGGTGGAGTCACCATCCCTGGAGGGATTTAAGCAATGTGTAGACATGGCACTTCAGGGCATGTTCTAGTGCCTGAGATTGTTGGTTTGTGTCTGTTTGTGGGTGGATGTGGAGTGTTTTTGTGTGTGGTTTTTTGTGTGGTTGGACTTGATGATCTCAAAGGTCCCTTCCAACCATGAATATTCTACGATTCTGTGAATGCCA